AAAAAAACAAAACAAACAGGTAAAAGAAAAAAAATGAGGCCGTTGTTCCCGCGTGCCTGGGCCGGTCCAACTGGCTCGAGCCTTCTGCGAGGGTTCCCACCGTCTCACTTAATGCGAGACATAGGGGGGTACCTGATAGAACCTGGGATCTCCTGGTTGCTTGGTAGCGCTGTTAGCCACTGAGCTACATCAAGTTTGTGCTAAATAAGGCAGGCGCATCCTACTAGAAGAAAAGGAGACGGTTTTTATGCTAGTTTTTGTTTTTTATTTTCTTTCTCCATTTTCTTATGTATTATTCGGTTTTATTTGTGGTTTTTCTTCTTCTTCTTCTTTCATTTTCTTTTGTTTCTTCCCTTTTTCTTCTCCTTTTTTTCATTTGTTTCTTTGGTTTTATTTTTCATTAAGTTTTCTTCTTTTGGTTTATTTTGTTTCTTTTTTTGGTTTTGATTTTTCTAGTTTACATTTTTTGTAAATGTCAACAACGTTTTTGTAATACATCTTTAACATTTTTCCAATACAAATATAACCTTTTTTAATACATAGTCGATATTTTTATAGACATTTTTAATATTTTTGAAATGCTTGATTAACATTTTTCTATACTACTATATAGTGTACCAGTTTCGAAAATTTGAATCTCATGACCAGAAAGGAACCTGAACCATTGATAGGGTCCATCCAATGGTTGGACATGCTCGGATTCGCTGCTACAGTTCTAGCTGCAGTACCATCGAAGCTACTGTTGTTCTCCGGAACCATCCACATATAATCAGTACCAGCCAAGGTATGTTGTTCTCTAGAACCATCCACAAATGTCAATGCTGGAAAAATCCACATGCTTGTTGTTGTTGTCGTTCATCCGTGCACGTAGCTGGCTGTCTCAGCCGCCTTGGCGGCTGGTCCATAAGCATCGGTAGCGCGCGTACTAATCGCGTCATCGCGAGAGGGATTTGGGACGGAGTTTTGAGCTGGCTGTTGTGGAATGCATCAATCAGGCGAGGGAAGCCAATGCGTGCATTTGCATGTACATGTATACTAGTAAATACAAGATTAACACTTTTTTAATACATGGTCAACATTTTTCTTATACACACTAAAGTTTTTCAAATGCTTGATTAATTTTTTTCAAATACAAGATTAATATTTTTCTAATAGATGGTTAACATTTTTCCTATGCACATTTAACATTTTTCAAACCTTTCTACATGGCCAATTTTGCTTTCTTCAAGTCAGATTGTGCAAGTTCAGCATCGCCGTCCCACCCGTTAGTATTACTTGTAGTAGTGTCTCCTTGTCTTTATCTAAGTCCTTTCCAGGGATAGTGTATTGATGCATACCACACAAAGAAAGATAAATAGCGGGGAAATTTACAATTCTGATATGACATTACCGCAAGGTGATTCTTCCACCAATCATTGTCCACCCGAGTGAATCCTCTTTCTTTTTTTGACCCGAGTGAATCCTCTTTCAGGATCCCACGCAAGCCTGTTTGGAGATTTCAAGTTCCATACATCATATGCACTCCTCCTTCAGTGAGTCTCATCTATCCTTGAACAACTCCTTCACATACCTCTTCCCAACTCTATCGTAGAATTTGAGCTCTAAGGTTCTCGTAACCTTTGGTACCCAAGCCCAAGCACAGACTATTGCCAACAAACGTTCCATCTTTGCGTATTTCACAAAAGATCTCCGTGTGACATGCATCCTAAATCATTCTCTTCATATGTTCCATTTCAATTATAGAATGCATGAAGTTGCATTTGATGAAAGGTTCTAGGTAACAATCAGCAACTCACAATGCATAGTCCTGCAAAATCCTCTACAACATCAAAATGAAATATTCTTCGACCCATGCAAGGATAGGCCATATCGCACAAATAATTACCAAAAGTGTTGTGGTATTGCCAAATCTTTCTTAACATGGAAGAGCTGCTCCAACTCTACAATTCTTCGACAAGGATCGATCATATCAAACTAATAATTAACTATTTACTAGTACTAAGCAATCACGGAGTTTGGAATCATGCAAGATAATAACCAGTTGTACACTGAAAAAAAGTTCAATGCATACACAAAATGTTGATCATACATAAAAAATTATGTTCAATGTGTGTACTTGAAAATATGTTCACTGCTTATTGAAAAATATCCACCATATATTAAAAAGTTGTTCAGTCTGTATTTAAAAAAATATTCATCGAATATTTTAAAAGGTTCGCCATATATTAAAAGTTGCTCAATGTGTATATGAAAAAAGTGTTTAGTTTGTATTTCGCGAAATGTTCAGCGTATATTTAGAAAAAAATGCTTGTACTAAAGAAAAATATAGAAAAAAGCTAAGTAAACCAGAAGAAAAACCTGAAGGTGAAAAGGGGAAAAGCAGGAAAACTAAAGTAAATAAAAAACCAACAAATCATACTATACTAGTTTTCTCCCTCTCGCTTGAGGATACTCGTCCACTGCCCAAGGCCCATGTTGCTCGCTTAAAAAAATATTCTGAATTATGAACCAATTCGCACAGACTAAAAAATGTTCATGAATTCGAAAAATTCATAAATTTAATTAAACTTCAAGAATTTGGTAAATTATATTGAATTGGAAGAAAGTTTTGATTTTAAAAAATGTGTATTCAAAAAAATGTTTCGAACTGATAAATATTCGCCTATTCAAAAAAAAAAATTCATGATTTCAACAAATGTTCGTGAACTCAAAAAATATTTGCAGATTTGGAAAATATTCTTGAACTTAAAAATGTTCAACCTAATTCGAAAAAGTTTCATGTATTCAAATTATATTTACGAATTTTAAAATTTTACTAATTTAGAAAAATGTTTACCAATTCAAAAAATATTTGTGAATTAAAATGTAATCAATAAATTAAAAATAAATTCAAATTCATAAAATGTTCATGATCTTGAGTTGTTTTTCAAAAATAAGATACTCAAATTAAAAAATGTGTTTGAAGTTTAAACTTTTCCTAAATTTTTAAAAACCACAGATTAAAAAAATGTTCATGAATTCAAAAATATTCACGAATTATAAGAATAATAAAAATATTTTAAAATAAGTACAAAAGAAAACCAGCAGAAAATAAATATAGAAAAAAACTGGTATATGGAATGTTCTAGAACGTTCCCAAAATTTGTGGGAAGCATACCACTAAATGGGCCGGCCCAAGCGATTGCCCATTATTGCATGCGTGGCGTGCAGAATAGGATCTGCCACTGGCGGGGTAGGGGATCCGGTGGTCAGTCAGCTGCAATCTTGCGGGCCTAAACCCTGAAACCACCTAGAAAGTCCAAAGAAATAGGGAAGGTTTCCTAATGCTTGAGTGACAAAAAAAGGCTTCCAGACACTCAACATAAGCTTAATTAAGGGATGCGCTGTGATTCACAAATGAAAATAGCGAAAGCAGGCCGTTCAAGGACATGACCAATTCTTAGGAGTCGACTTCGAGCACATACTCCAAGTCAATAAAAATGACTATGGTTCATAATATTCCCTCTATCCGCAATTAGCTGACACTCAAACGGATGTATCTAGCATGACGGAGGAAGTAGTAACTATGTGACATCTCCTCTCTCCATTGTTCTTCAATACAAAGATCACATAGCTGCCCTACATGATTATGATCGACCTGATGTAATTTTTGGTGTGCTTATCGTGATGTGATAAATTGTCACTTTATGATCATATTATAAATGAATTTCTACTTGGTTTCTTTGAATTTCTTCGCCTCGTGATTTATATATCGACATGCTCTCCGATTTACTAGTCTTGCACGTGCCATGTTTAGACGAATGATCTCCAAGATGAAGTTGTCTCCGTTGGTTGGTTTATATACAATATACTCTCTGATCTATTAGTCGCCATATGGCATATTTCGCGCGCTCCTTATACTTTTGAAGGCCACCAAGGCAATGCGCAAACACGGAGTCGTCATAATGCAACTTTCAGTAGGACCACCCAATCATTAGATCATCGGTGCTTCCCCAACAATTGAGGGGAAAATATGATCATCGGTTCATCGGCTCCCCAGTAATTTTCCGCCCATAGTTTGTAGCATCTCTCCTTTGGTTACCATTTTATTATCTGCAACTTATCCTTCGTTCCACCGTGCCTGCCCATTGGTAGAGCACAGCGCCGCTCGCTCTTGTTTATATCTTATTACACGCCGCATGTAGCGCCAACCATCTGTCCCGTGGCGCCTCCGGTAGCCCATGTGCGCCCTGTTGTCCCTTCAACGGTCAAAGAAAAGGGGATCTGATCTGATGGCGCCCATGGAGATGGAGAGGATGGAACCTAGACAGCAGCAACACTAGCAGTCTGTTTGCCCTTTTGCAGTCCCTACCATCATCCCCCATTCCCTTCCCCTCTCGCCTGCAGGCCCGCCGGCTCCCACTTCCAAGGTGAGCTCTGCCGCCTCTATCTATGTACTGGTTGATTGATGTGGATCTCCGCACCGCAGCAGCAACTTTCGACCCTTTTCCCCCCATTGCTGTCAGCTCAAGGTAGTATATTTGCCACACATTCCGTTGTGTAACTGTGGGAAAGCGTCACTTTTGGGAGGTTGGATGCTTCGTTCCATGGCGACGCCATTGCTTTCCGTGGAAAGAGCTTCAGTGATCGGGGTCACTCAAAGGGGCATCGATCGTTGCATCCTTGCTTTCCGTTTAGTAGGAGTACTTCTCATGGGGAGTACTTAGAGGACTATCTTTTTCCTTGGGTGTCCGTGCTCGTCATGGACATCGAGCGAATTCCGGAAATAATCTAATCTAGTGTACCATTTGCTTCTGTCCTACTTACTCAAATGCCGGAGTACAAACATCCCGGATGAATGGCGATCCGGCCGGCCACTTGCATTTCCATCACCAATGACAAGGTTCCGAACATTTTGTGCAGCTAGATCCATCTGATTCGGCGGTTCTCCGGCCGGGAATCTCCGGCAAGAACAGAGTGTTGAACCGCGGCCGTGAATTCTGATCGCGGTGTCTCGGACGATGCAAGCGACGGCGCGGCAGGTGGAGGACAAGGAGTGCTACAGCTACACCACCAATGGCGCGGCCAGTGGACGGCCGCACCGCAAGAACCCGGCCGCGTCCTCCAGGCTCAAGCCGATGCCGTCCAAGTGGGACGACGCGCAGAAGTGGCTCGTGGGCATGTCCAACGGCGGCGGCGACGGGCTGCACGGCGGCGGCGGCAAGGGCGCCAAGCCCCGCAACTCCAACGCCGACGACCGGCGCCTCCTGAGCTCGTCCTCGCAGAACGGCCGCATCTCCTGCAGCAGCGTGGACGGCGGCATCGAGTACAACATGGTGGCGGCGCCCCCGACGCCGCCGCAGCTGGGCGAGGACGACGTCGGCGAGACCAAGAACATGGACTACATGGTGCCGCCGCACGGCCACGCCCACGGCTCGCCCGTGTCGGTGTGCCTGCGGGACATGGGCACCGAGATGACGCCCATCGCCAGCAAGGAGCCGTCCAGGGCGGCCACGCCGCTGCGCTCCACCACGCCCGTCGCGCGGAGCCCGATACCGTCCCGGTCGTCCACGCCGGGGAGGCGGCGGCAGGACGCGCCGCCCGCGGGCGCTCTTGGCTCCGACGTGGTCCGGACGGCCGAGCAGGCGGCGGTAAGCAACAATGCCGTCAGTGGCGGCGAGGCGGGCAGGGACAGCGACGCCGGGGTGCACGGCGGTGCTCCCAGAGCCAACACGCTCGAGTCCCGTGCGGCGGCCTGGGACGAGGCAGAGCGAGCCAAGTTCATGGCGAGGTGCGCACGCAATCGATTACATCTTCCTTCCACCTTCAGAATCTTCAGCGCCCTGTGCGGATCTGCTTAATCAGTTCGTCATAACATTTTTCCCGGTTCGTGTGGATGGATTCAGATACAAGCGCGAGGAGGTGAAGATCCAGGCCTGGGAGAACCACGAGAAGCGAAAAGCCGAGCTGGAGATGAAGAAAATAGAGGTAACCACATTCCTGAAGATCCCATCCATCCTTTTGGCACTGCACTCATGGCGGTAAACCAAATCTGATGCCATGATTGCGTAAAGTTGCACACAGAAAGGTGGCGAGGATAGCATCATTTTTCGTGCTTGCTTCATTCATTCTCACACAGGAGTTTGCAGTGGTCCAACCAATTAGAATTCATTCACTGCACGTCTGCACCTGCATAAACCTACACGAAACAGACAAGCGGCTCTGCAGATCTTGAATGATCCGCCACCCCATCTTTTCCGAACGAGCCGATCTTGAATGAGACTACTAAACTGACTGCCCCAATTGAATTCACCGTACCAGTGGCGCAGTAGATCACCATTAGTACACTACGCTACACCGCTCGACCATTACCGCAGTAGATCTGCAGCCGCTTGATGCGCCACATGAACACTGTCGGGTGCTTATTAATTAATTTACTGCGCTGGAGTCTTAACGCATGACTGCAGTCGAAAATTGATTGATGCTAGCTTGTTTGAATTGGACTGAACCCGCAGATGAAGGCGGAGCAGATGAAGGCGCGGGCGCAGGAGAAGCTGGCGAGCAAGCTGGCGACGGCGCGGCGCGTGGCCGAGGAGAAGCGGGCGGTGGCGGAGGCGACGCTGAACGAGGGCGCGGCGAGGACGTCGGAGAAGGCGGACTACATCCGGAGGACCGGCCACCTGCCCTCCTCCTTCTTCTCCTTCAGAATCCCCTCCCTCTGCGGCTGAACTGCCTCCCTATACAGGACAGATTCATAGGGATCACCGTATATGTTGTTGCCCCACTGCTTCGTTTTGTGTCCATTGTAGGGGTTGATTGCCAAGGGGAAAAAATGTAGGGGGTGCGTGCTATCTGTGATCGCCGCACGAGCAGCTTTCAGTTCAGTGGACTTGGTTCTATTTTGTGGAAGGGCCTCGCATACAACTGAAAGAGGACTCTAGTCTAGACCCAGAGAGAAACATACTACTCCCCATGTCTCAAAATATAAGGACGTTTTTAACACTACATTAGTGTTAAAAACGTTCTTACGTTATGGAACGGACTTGTAATTTCCAAGTTGGTCGAGTTGCAAATCCGCAAAGCGAACATGCGGCTAATCATTTCCCTTGCACGGACCAATATTCAAGATCTCATCATATTAGAATAAAGAATTATTTTCTAAATCAAAACTGAGGATATATTCTCCGTCACCTGAGAAACAAACGGTCCAGAATAATGTGTGTACTGTTGGGCTCTATGGCCGAGCCCTCGTATAGGAGTAGTACAAGGCAGTGGACAAGCTCACAAATACGTACTTCCTCCATCTGAAATTAGTTGAATCTCAAACGGATGTATCTAAACTAGATACATGCGTCTGAACGTCAACTAATTCCAGACGGAAGGAGTATTCATTAATAAAAACTTGAATTCGACTTGGTTTGACTTTTTTATGAAATTGATAGTAATGTTAACTAGCACAGTGACCGGCGAGAATTCTTGCATCTCTTTATATTTGTTGTTTTTACCAACTATAAGCCCTTGAATTTAATTGTGTTTTGATTTAATCAAAACACATTGTATTAGCTTTGATACATGGTCCAAAATATAGTAAATTTTGTAGACAAACGTGTGTTTCAAGAAAACGTGAATAAATTTTGGGGCACTGACAGGCGCCGGCGGACCGGCCGAAATTTGGGCCGGTCCCTGCGCGTCGGTCAGATGTATTTGCCCCAACCATCTGATCTCACGCAAACTCTCGTCTCGCTGTTTCTTTCTTTTTCTGCGGGTCGCTCCCTCCAGCCATCGCTTGCAGCGGGGCGCCCCTCGTTCGCAGCCTTGCCCGCGCCCCCACAGCTCGCCGGCGACGCCTCGCCGGTAGCGCCCATCGTCGCCTAGTCGTAGCAAAAAGCTTAGCTGGTCACAACAAAATTGCTTCGGGTTGTAGCAAAAATGCCGCCCAAGTCGCCGCTCGCGCCCATAGTCGACGTATGCCCTTGAAGCTTTTGCTGCGCGCGGATGCAACCCTTCCACTGCCGGTTGCAGCTTCTCCACCGGTAGCCACCGGTGAGAACGCGGCCACATGATGGCGAGAGCAGCAGATGCTGGAACCATGGGCACAAAAGCTGGAAACAACGACGGGAGTTGTTGTGACGGCCTAGAGTCGACTTGCCGGTTCCAGCTTCTATGGCACCGATTGTAGCTTTTGCAGGCGCCGGATGCAGCTTCTGCCATCGATGATTGTGGCACGGGGGCACCACCATCGTAGCTCCACCACCCCCGCCATGGTTGCAGCTCCCGGCCGCCATGGTGGCAGCTCCCCGCCCAGCAGGATGTAGCTTCCGTCGTCACGGTTGTAGCACCGGGCGTAGCTGTCACAGCTCCCTCGCCGTCATGATTGTAGCTCCCGATCGCCACGTTTGCAGCTCCCCGCGCAGCCGGATGTACCTTTTGCCGTCATGGTTGTAGCATCGAGCGCCGCCATTGCAACTCCCTCGCCGCCATGGTTGCAGCTCCGTCTTGCTCTCGTGTGCATAGCAGGGCACAGCGCCGCTGGCAGCAGCACGCGGCGCATCGAGTAGATAGGCGCATCACCATCTTCCGAAAACTAGCAGCACCTCCTCTTTTGTCACACGATGGCGGACAACAGCCCCAGCTGGCTACGGGCATGGCTGGTTGTGGGCTTGTGGCGTACGGAGGAGCCATCCCCGAGGAGAAAAAGCCGCGCTGGAGCAGAGGAGATAGGATGCTTGGCGCGCTCCGAGAGATTCAGTTGCGAGAGAGAGAGGAACGATGGAAGAAAATGAGTGGCCGGTGGCTTCGTCAGTTTGTATTGGGAAGAAACGAGATACGCATGTGGGGTCGTGATAACCCACAAGTGTAGGGGATCGCAACAGCTTTCGAGGGTAGAGTATTCAATCCAAATTTATTGATTCGACACAAGGGGAGCCAAAGAATATTCTTAAGTATTAGCAGTTGAGTTGACAATTCAACCACACCTGAATAACTTAGTATCTGCAGCAAAGTATTTAATAACTAAGTAGTATGATACTAATATTAACAGTGGTAAAAGTAAAGATAAAAGTTTTGTAGTAACTGTAACAGTAGCAACGAAAAAGTAAATAAGCAAAGCACAAGATGTGAAAAGCTCGTAGGCTTTGGATCAGTGATGGATAATTATGTCGGATGCGATTCCTCATGTAATAGCTATAACATAGGGTGACACAGAACTAGCTCCAATTCATCAATGTAATGTAGGCATGTACTCCGAATATAGTCATACGTGCTTATGGAAAAGAACTTGCATGACATCTTTTGTCCTACCCTCCCGTGGCAGCGGGGTCCTAGTGGAAACTAAGGGATATTAAGGCCTCCTTTTAATAGAGAACCGGAACAAAGCATTAGCACATAGTGAATACATGAACTACTCAAACTATGGTCATCACCGAGAAGTATCCCGATTATTGTCACTTCAGGGTTGTCGGATCATAACACATAATAGGTGACTATAGACTTGCAAGATAGGATCAAGAACTCACATATATTCATGAAAACATAATAGATTTAGATCTGAAATCATGGCACTTAGGCCCTAGTGACAAGCATTAAGCATAGCAAAGTCATAGCAACATCAATCTCAGTGGATACTAGGGATCAAACCCTAACAAAACTAAGTTGATTACATGGTAAATCTCATCCAACCCATCACCGTCCAGCAAGCCTACGATGGAATTACTCACGCACGGCGGTGAGCATCATGAAATTGGTGATGGAGGATGGTTGATGATGACGACGGCGACGAATCCCTCTCTCCGGAGCCCCGAACGGACTCCAGATCAGCCCTCCCGAGAGAGATTAGGGCTTGGCCGCGGCTTCGTATTGTAAAACACGATGAAACTTTCTCTCTGATTTTTCTCTCCGCGAAACGGAATATATGAAGTTGGAGTTGAGGTCGGCGGAGCTCCAGGGGGGCCACGAGATAGGGGGGCGCGCCCCCCACCCTCGTGAACAGGGTGTGGGCCCCTTGGTCTTCATCTTTTGCCAGTATTTTTTATATTTGCCAAAACTTATCTCTGTGGATTTTTCAGGTCATTCCGAGAAGTTTTGTTTTCTGCACAATAAACAACATCATGGCAGTTCTGCTGAAAACAGCGTCAGTCCAGGTTAGTTTCATTCAAATCATGCAAGTTAGATTCCAAAACAAGGGAAAAAGTGTTTGGAAAAGTAGATACGTTGGAGACGTATCAACTCCCCCCAAGCTTAAACCTTTGCTTATCCTCAAGCAATTCAGTTGATAAACTGAAAGTGATAAAGAAAAACTTCTACAAACTCTATTTGCTCTTGTTGTTGTAAATATGTAAAGCCAGCATTCAAGTTTCAACAAGTATTATGAACTAACCATACTCACAATAACACTCAGGTCTCACAATTACTCATATCAATAACATAATCAGCTAACAAGCCATAATAATAAAACTCTGATGACAACACTTTCTCAAAACAATCATAATATGATATAACAAAATGGTATCTTGCTAGCCCTTTCTAAGACCACAAAACATAAATGTAGAGCACCTTTAAAGATCAAGGATTGACTAAACATTGTAATTCATGGTAAAAGAGATCCAGTTAAGTCATACCCAATATAAACCAATAGTAATGAATGCAAATGACAGTGTGCTCTCCAGTGGGTGCTTTTTAATAAGAAGGTGATGACTCAACATAAAAGTAAATAGATAGGCCCTTCGCAGAGGGAAGCAGGGATTTGTAGAGGTGCCAGAGCTCGATTTTAAAATAGAGATTGAATAACATTTTGAGCGGTATACTTTCATTGTCAACGCAACAACTATGACATGGCTATATCTTCCATACTACATGCATTATAGGCAGTTCCCAAACAGAATGGTAAAAGTTTATACTCCCCCACCACCAACAAGCATCAATCCATGGCTTGCTCGAAACAACGAGTGCCTCCAACTAACAACAGCCCTGTGGGAGTTTTGTTTAATTATATTGATTTGCTTTGATATTTTTGGATCATGGGACTAGGCATCCCGGTTACCGGCCCTTTCTCGTGAATGAGGAGCGGAGTCCACTCCTCTTGAGAATAACCCACCTAGCATGGAAGATACAGGCAGCCCTAGTTGAAACATGAGCCGCTCGAGCATACAAAATAGAATTTTATTTGAAGGTTTGGAGTTTGGCACATACAAATTTACTTGGAACGGTAGGTAGATACCGCATATAGGAAGGTATGGTGGACTCATATGGAACAACTTTGGGGTTTAAGGAGTTTGGATGCACAAGCAGTATTCCCGCTTAGTACAGGTGAAGGCTAGCAAAAGACTGGGAAGCGACCAACTGAGAGAGCGACAACAGTCATGAACATGCATTAAAATTGATTCACACCGAGTACAAGCATGAGTAGGATATAATCTACCATGAACATAAATATCGTGAAGGCTATGTTGATTTGTTTCAACTACATGCGTGAACATGTGCCAAGTCGAGTCACTCAGTTTATTCAAAGGAGGATACCATCCCATCATACCATGTTGGCACGCAAGGTAAACCATTATAACTCATAGCTAATCAAGCATGGCACAAGCAACTATAATCTCTAAATGCCATTGCAAATATGTTTACTTCATAATAAGCTGAATCAGGAATGATGAACTCATCATATTTACAAAAACAAGAGAGGTCGAGTTCATCCAGCTTCTTTCATCTCAACCAGTCCATCATATATCTT